CAGAGTCTACTCGGTTCTAGCTGGTTGTTGGCTATGTGGAAATGTAGACCCATTGTTGCTAAGACCTTCCTATTTTTTAAGAGAAACTAGAAGTCGGAATTTTTCTGGGAAATATCCTGGTTTATAAAATGTTGGTAACTACCTAAAAAAAATTCATCCATTGTACAGTACAGACATGACTGAGCTATGAGCCGGATGGGCCGTTTGGCCTACCAGTTTCCTACCTCTGATGTAGAGTGTTCAGGCTAAACCAGTGGTTCCCAAAGTGTGTCCTGGAGCAGCAACATCAGCATCACCTGGGAACTTGGTAGTAATGCAAAATCTGGGGCCCTGTCCTAGACTTTCTGAATTAGAAATTCTCAGGGGTGGGGCCCGGCAGCCTTTGGTCTCACCTGCCCTTCAGGTGATTCTGATGCACACTCAAGTCGCAGGACCACTGGGTCCCCATTCTTGGTGCCTTCTCTGTTCCCTGTTCTTGTATTGCCTCCGCGAGTTGCCTCAGGTTCAGAAGACTCTCTCTTTTCCTGAATTCATGGCATCCGCTGTCCATACCTCCACTGGGAAGTTGCTCATTCGCTGCCTCGTGGTGACTTGAATTTTCACGCTAATGGTCACTTAATTCCTGTACTGATGTTTAACTTACCAGGTGTTTGTTTTGTTTCCTGACCTAGTATATAAACTAGAGAGCAAGGTTCTTGATTTACCTTTTTATTTTTTCTTCTTTGGTATGGGTTTAGCATAGTGCCTTGCACTTGTCTGTGATAATTGCTGGGTGTTATTTGGGGGTAGTCGTTTTCTAGTTGCTCAGTCTGGCCATAACGTGTTAAACAATCGAACAACAGCGTTAACTCTGCTGACTGTTTCCATCTTCACCCTGACTTTTTTGCTAATCCTCCCAGAGTATTTTCTTCCTGCCACCAGGGCAGAGATGCTGGCTACACAATAATGTCAGTGTGCCTCTCCCATCTTCCTGGTGGGTGACTCCTGAAGCAGAGAAAGTGCCAGTTAAGCACACCCTGGGGGCAACAGTGGGTGTGTGCCTCACAGGCTGTGGGGGCCCCGGGAGCCCTCCCTTCCTTGCTAGTGGTGCTTTCGGATTCTGTGGTGCAGTTTCACAGCGGCTCTCCAAACCAGTCCTGAACTTTGGGGAGCCCCAAATTGAGTGAACAGCCTGAACATGAAGGCTCCCCCAAGGCCCTTCCTTGCTGACAGCAGAAGTGATGGACACTCCGCAGGTGGGCTGGATTCTGGGCACGGCCAGGCCGGGCCTGATAGGCTGACGTTTCTCCTGCCTCCTGCTCTGGGCTGTCGTGGTGGAATAGCTGCCTGGGAGCATGATTGACGGGGGAGAGGTATAATTTTCTAAATGTTACCCGGATTACTTTAATAAGCATACTAGAATTTGAGCTGGAATTTCAAGGGAAGGCTAGGACTTAGGTAGCAAAGACAGAGAGAACTATTCCAAATGGGCCAACCGTGCGGGCAAACCTGGGGGCACGCACACTGTGCTGACCACACGGTGGTGGGCAGGGTTGGCTGCGCAAGCGTCTGTGTCAGGTGGGATGGGAGGTGATGGTGGAGGGGGCTCAAGTGTGAGTCTGGGAAACCCAGCTGTGCTTTGTGGGCACAAGGGCAGCAGAGATGCAGTTTTCAAGGGGGAGGGAGAGCGCAGAGCATGCTGCAGGGAAAGGTGCCTGGACGGTAAGTGTGGCGGGGTAGGGCAGGACACTCGTCAACCCTGCAGTGGGGCTGCAGTTCACGAGCCTCAGCGTGTCAGGAGGAAGACACGGAACCCAGACAGCCGGGGAGTGAGATGTTCCACTTTCATCCAGTTGCTCTGTGTGTGGGCTTGATCGTGATCATCACATAGTTCGTTGTACAAGGGAAAACCTGATATGGATGCTGATCATGGATATTGAAGAAATATTGAGATAAGGGAAATGCCAGAAACAGGTTGGAAAGGATAGAAGCCATACAGTTTACAGCCATTTGGGTGAGCTGCTCACTGCTCATGTCTCATGGCCCCGTCACAAGACCACAGGCGGGTAAGCATGTGCCATTGGCTTTACTGTGCTTTTGGTTCTTCATGTGATTCAGCATAGTTTGTTACTCTTAAAGCTTGGTTGTCTTGTCACACTTTTTTTTTTTTTTCTTTTGAGACAGAGTCTCACTCTGTTGCTTGGGCTAGAGTGCTGTGGCATTGGCCTAGCTCACAGCAACCTCAAACTCCTGGGCTCAAGCGATCCTCCTGCCTCAGCCTCCCAGAGTGCTAGGATTACAGGCATGAGCCACTGCGCCTGGCCTTGTCACAACTTTTAAAAATGTAAAGGAAAATTATCTATCAAGTCAAAAAATGGAGTTCTCTAGGGAGGGGCTGAAATGGTCTGGAAGTGCTTAGTAGAGGCTGGATGTTCATCAGGCTTTGGAGACGGAGAGACTAGTATTTATTTTGTATTTATTGTTACCCTGGCACTGCATGCACGGGAGTTGGGGGATTTGGGGAAAGGAAATTTATTTCTCACAGTTCTGGAGGCTTGAAGTGTAACAGCCCCCAAGAACACATTGCAATAACCCCTATGTGTTTTTTATAATCCTCTCCTTTAACTAACTACTTGACCTTTTGAGTTGTTTCCCAGAAATGGTGAATTTTCTGCAAGACAGAGGAACTGAGATGCTGAAGGCCCCTGGGCAGACTTCCTGATGGCAAGACTCAGCAGCCCCCCAGCCTGCCCCCAACGCATGTAGCCCCTTGTTAGTTATACCGCAACCTTCCCCAAGGCATGTGGCTCCTCCTTTCAAAGCCTATGGTCTCCATTAGTCAGAGAGACAGATTTGAGACAGCTTTTCCCATACTCCCAGCAAGACGTCTGTCCTATTAAAAATTCCTTCTTTCTTGGCAATCCTCAGGGACTCAATATTTGGATCTTTGTGCGACAAGCAGCTGGACCTAGGCTGAAACACCCCTGCGGTTTCAACAACAGAAATCCAAGAGCAGGACGAGCCTCTCTCCTCTGCTTGCAGACACTGTCTTTTGCTGTGCCTCACATGGCCTTTTCTCTGGAGCTCTGGGATCTCTTCCTCCTTTATAAGGTCACAGGGCCCCATCCTTATGACCTCATTTAACCTTAAATACCTCCTTAAAGGCCCTGTCTCTAAATAAGGGGACATTGGGTGTTAGGGTATCAATGTGACTTTTTTGGGGACACAATTCAGTCCATAAGAAGAGGAGATGGATGTCCTCAGCCCTCAGAAGTCAGGGCAGGAGTTAAGCTATTTGAAAAGGAGAAAGAGTGGTCGGGAGACCTGGCCAAAGAGAGAAGAAGTCTTGGTGTCCGTCTGGGAGGTGGCAGGAAGAGAAGAAAGGAGGGGCCCAGTTGGCCGTGCGCATTCTTCTCGGCTCTCCGTGTGCGCTCCTGGCAACTGGGATTGTCATCGTTCACAACACGATGCTTCTTCAGGTTAAGATGTCACTGAAGATCGGTTTCTCTGGTCCTCATGCTTGAGTCCTTTTGCTGAGAAGAGCTCAAGTTCCAGTTTTGAGAAGCACTCTCCCTCCCAAAAAAGCAGATCTTGATGTCCAAGAAAGCGTGTGGAAGCTTTAGCCCCCAAGTGCGGCCACATCCATTAACATGACAGAAAACGCAGCAGGACTTTCATCACCACCTTGTGTTGAGGGGCCAGTCTAGGCTCTTCCAAGGTAATAGTTCCCCTCAGGTAAGGGAGGAGGGATTTTATTTATTTATTACAATTTTTAAATTTATTTATTTTTTATGACAATTCTTTTATTAAAAGTTCTGAGAACAGAGTAGAGAATGTCTGTTCTTCAAGACGTCTTTAACTTGAGGTCTCATCCTGAGGGCAAGGTTTATTTTTTAATTTTTTTTGAGACTGTCTTGCTCCGTCACCCAGCTAGAATGCAGTGGCATCAATGTAGCTCACGGCAACCTCAAACTCCCGCGCTCAAGCGACTCTCCTGCCTCAGCCCCCTGAGTAGCTGGGACTACAGGTGAGCACCACGATGCCCAGCTAATTTTTATATTTTTTTAGTAGAGATGAGTCTTGCTCTTGCTCGGACTGGTCTCAAACTCCTGCCCTCAAGCGATCCTCCCACCTAGGCCTCCCAGGGTGCATCCTGTACGCTGATTACCTGGGAAGCACGTGGAAGGGTCACTGTCCGAGGTTGTATGTCTGCATCTGTACCTGGGGAGAACGAGACAGAAAACGCCTCAGGGTCAGCAGTATTGTCAGGTGCCTTCTAGGGGGTGGCCAGCCCCAATCTCCTCCTCCCCACTCTGACCCAGCTCTCCTGTGCCAGGGAGAATTCCCTGCTTTGTAAAATTCCTTGAATCGAGTTTCTTCCAAAAGTTGTTCTGGTGCAACTTTCTCTAGTGATGTGCACCTCAAATAAATTTGGGCCTCCCGGCACGCTCTCCCCCACTCAGGGAGAATCACATTGCACATTAGTGTATCAGAGGCTGAGAAGTTCTGGAAAAATAAAACTTGTTGAAGTTTTTAAGCCTTCATTTCCCCCACTGACTTTCATTAACATCCATGGATCTCATGAATTTGTTAGCTGGCAGTATTGATCGTTCCTGTCGGGTCCTTTATGTAATTGGAACCCACTGGTATTGGGTCTGCCTGTGTGTCCCCAGCCCCTCCCTGCCCCACTCTCGGCTTCTTCAGCTATTCCTCTTGGTCTTCAGCTATCTTTCTTGGTCACTGTCATGGAAGAAAGAGTTCCAGGTCGCATGTGTCTCTCTTCAGGCAGTTCCCCCGGTGTGATCGGATGGGGGCCGATTTGGGCAGGACTGTCCTCCTCCTTCTCTTTGGACATTGTCCAGGGATCTGAGTTTTCTTTTTCAGCAGCCGTATCCACGTCCTTACATAACGAACACAGAGGTGAGGGCTTGCCAGCTACGGACAAAAGAAATAAGATGGCAGCGAATGGTTGCCTTGGCAGTGAACTTAAAAGGGACCTATGTTTTCTCCCCGCTCTTTCGGGTCATCTTTGCTCTGAACCAGACCCTCCTGCAGCAGGAGAGCCTGCGCGCGGCCGGTCTTCAGAGGATCTCATCAAGCACTGTACCTGCGGGGACCTCAGCTCTGTCATCTCAGCCGTGACCGCGCCCAGGTGAGCGCCCTTATCCTCTGTTCAGTGCACATTTCATTACAAGAGTGAAGACATTACCTGCCAACACCTGGATACCCTGTGTACAAAGGATGGAGGCCTTGAAGGGCTCTAAAAATAAAATGGGACAGATTTAGACGTCATCGAATGAGGTGCTGCAGTTACTGAAGGCTTTCTTTATGAACCTTTTGGGAATGGGGAGGGGCACCGATGACGCTTAATTCCAAGGCCCCAGCTGTAGGGTGAAGAAGCTTCAGAGGATTCAGCAGCAGGCAGCGTGAACCAGCCTTGGGAGAGGGGAAGGGATCTGATTCCGATGGCCTCCTGGCTGACTTAGGTGACTCTTTTGGGAAATGATGGAGTAGAACTTTGGCTGTGGCTTCAATGGCTTCTAGGAACATGTGAGTGTGATGTGACTGTTCATGTGTTCACGGGATTCTTGCAGGGCTGGCATGTGGGAGCGGGGAAGGCTGCCAGCATTTGCAGACATGGATCATTCCATCCTTCAGCACTGCAGGATGAGTGTGGCCGAGCTGGTGGAGTGTGTACCCCCGACGGGCCTTTACCCGTGGGCCATCGAGGACAAAGCTGGTCAGGCCTCAGAGGAGTGCAGCCTCCCTACAGGAGGGAGGTGGGATGGACCTTTTGTCCCCAGGCACGAGGATGCTGGGGAGGAGAGAGGGGAGCTGGTGAGTGTGCGCGAGGCTATTAGGTGTATATTAGCTCTGGGGACCCAGCCGTAAGGAGATGTGCGTGAACGTGAGAGATGAGGAAGGGACAGCAGTACTGGGGGAGGGACAGTACAGGCTGAGTCCAGTATCAGCCCGGAGGGTGACATTTCATTCAGGAAGTAAGTGTCAAAAGATGCAATGAGTGTTCCAGAAAATCTAGAGTGGGAGGAAGTCAAACGAAGGCAAAAGGAAGCAGGAAGAAAGGCGGAACGAGAAGCACGTTAAAGGAGGAACCGTGGAGTTGATGGTGGGATGATTCGTACCTGCACTCTCAGTGGGGGCGGGGGAAGAGGAGAAAGGTCAACATCAACTGGGAAATTGACATTTGAAGCAGCAGAAAAAAGTTAACGTGGGCAGAGGATTTGGAAGTTATGTGGGCAAAGGCGAGGCTGATGGAGCCACAGGAGGGATGTCTTGTGCGTTTCTCACCTGGGGCTCCTCCAGGCCTGTCCTGCCCACAGGGCCCGGCAGGGGCGTGGGGTGTTGGGGAAGTGCGGCTGCTGCGAGTGAGGGCCAGGCTGGCCGTGGGGCAGTGTTGCAGGCTTTGGGTGACGTCTGGAATTTAGAAGGTGGAGCAGGATGGCAGAGGGAGCAGGTCACCCCGTACTTTTGGGGTTGCCTGTGTGGTCAGGCTGGTGCAGAGGGGGTGCTCTGCCAAAGAGGAGATTTTGGGGAATGGGCAGGAGGATCTGACATAAAAATCCTGATTTTTTTTAAAAAGATGACAGAATAGAAGATGAAGGCTGTTGGTTTGAAAATGAAAGAATGTCATTTCAAGGAAGTAGTGAAAGGAGATCTGTTATCCATAAGATGGATGTTAATGACTATGTTACAGAGTGTGAGGACTTTAAAAGGTTTCTGAGAAGCTACTGGAAGTAGGGGAAGCAGGCAGCGTAGATGTTGGCCAAGGTTAACCTTGTCAAGTCCTGGGTAGAGGATGCAGTATGCACCTGGGCGGGTGGGGAGGCCGAGGTTTGGGAAGTCAGACCGCCCAGAGGGTGGGGAGGAGACGCAGTGTGCCTGCCCCACCTGCTGCCGCTGGGCTGCAAGAACCACCCCGATTGTCACAGTTTTGGTGTACTTGCATCCTGCTGTTAGCCAGACACTGAAACCTGCTACCACCATGTACCAGAGTCAGGTGAAATATTTGCCCGGAGGGCAAAGGACACTGGGGACAGCCAGAGGGAGAAATAGGAAGTGGAGAAATAATGAAAATGTAAATGTATAGGATTTATAAAACAGTTAAATGTTTATAGAAATTCCATGTTTGTGGTTGTAGAATCATAATTATTAATTCTAAAATACGTAACTATATAAAGCTATTTTTATTTAAAAAAGCATGTGTGAATCAAACAAGTTAAAACTATGGATGTGCTACGCAAACATATGGTGCACTTGTATAAACACATGGCATCAAGCAGAATCATTTAGATGGAACAGAAGCGCTGTGTTAAACAGCATGGGAGTTCACACAGAGCACTTCACTTAATGTTTTTTCACTTTGGTTGCAGAGAATGATATTATAGCAGATAGGAGATTCCAAGAATGGTGTATCCTCCTCAGTCTTCTCCTGACAATGTCTTGACCATCTAGGCTGGGGGATTTGATGCTCCAATGAAGTAACTTTGTTAAAACTCTGTTGCCCGTATTTTATTTTTTTCTCTTTATTTTGGCGGAGGTTCCCAATTTTATTAATGCCACGCTACCACCTCAGGAGCTCATCACTGCTCAGGAGATCCACAGCTACTTCCACCAGGAGCTGATCTACAAGCAGAACGAGAGAATGGGGAGGTGGGTGAGGGCCCTTTTGGAGGAGTTCCCTGACAAAGGCCTTTGGAGCTGGTGAGTAGTAGGTCACCTCTGATTAGACGCTGGGGTCTGATGCTTCTCCCATGAAGGGAATGTGGAGGTGAGCTCCTTCAGGGCTTGTGTTGGCCAGAAAGTGAGATGAGGGGGTGGGGTGACACTTCCCTTGACTTATTTCAGTTGCAAAGTGGCTCCTGCTGGTGCCTGAGCATCCAATGTGGTTGAAATGTTGCTAGATGGGCTGGTGCATGTGATGTCACCCACAGCTGTCTGCATGTGGCTTGTGACACATGAGCCAGCTGGGAAGGCATTTTTGTCCTCCTAACTCTGTACTTAATCCTAACTTCTTCCTGGAACGTTTCACTTTGAGAATTTCACTGAAATTTGTTTCTCTTCACTCTCCTACTTGACTATGAGCCTCCCAAGTATAAGGCCAGGGGCTGACACATCAGTTATTATTAACTATTAATAGCACATATGGAGACAAAGTGGGCAAATTATTTCCTTTTGTTGGCTTTTCGAAGTAATTTCTCTCTTCTTGAGTGATTCTAATAAAGAATTCTTTGCAGTCTCAGGAATTAAGGACAGAAGTGCCATTGGGCTGGATTTTTTCTTTCAGATTCTTCCACTAGCCTCATAAACTTGGACAAGTCACATCCCTCAGTTTCTTTACCAGTAAAATGGGGGGTGGAGAGAAGCACTTCTGGAATGGCAGAGTCAGGGCCTCCAGAAACCTGCTCCTTCACAACAGCAATGAGAACACTGGAAAAAAATGATCAAAGTCAACTTTCTCAAAGCTCTGGAAATTAACTAAAGGCTTACAACTATCCTAGGAGTGTTTATTTAAGAAAACTCATTGAATTTTGGGAAGAAGAGTGAGCTTTGTGGATTTTAACTTGTTATATTCTCATCCCCCTTGTACCAGCTTCACAGTAGCCTTGAAAACCAACAGCCTTGGAACTATGGTAGCTGTGAAAACCAGTTGCCTAACAGTTCCTAAAAGGAGCAGAATGGGTTCAGCGTTCCTCCCAAGGCTAATTACTAATTACATCACTATTTGACCTGCCTGATAGCTCCCTGAAAATTCCATTCTCAAGCTTGTCTTCATTTGACCTGACTCTGAACTTGCCCTGTGCGAATAGCTGTATCCTAGGGCGTTTGTTGAAAACAATTAATGGCAGTTGTTTAACATCATAGCTGCCTATTGCTAAGACAGCAATATCAGCTGGGGCTTACAAGGGCCGCCCAAAAAACTTAAAAGGAAAATGGAAATGAGATGCCCCATAGGGGATTTTGAAAAGCTCTGACATATTTCTGGGAACCTAGAAAGCCATGTGCTTGAGAAGGACTGTGCACTTGCCCAGGAAAGGCCTGAGAAGGTCCTAATCTCTCACCTCTGGCTGATCTTGAGGCTGTGTGTAAGCAGAACATGAAAGCTAAGGCAGCATTGTAAACTGACTGCTGGGGCATCGAAGGCATGTCTCCAAATGCACATAACTCCTTGGCAAAGGCTGGGAGGTTTACTGGTTCAAGGTATTTAAGGAAATCTCTGTTCAGCCATAAGCTGACCACAGCAAAGAATACAGGCTTTACAGAATAGGTCCTGAAAAGCCACTAGACAAACAAACAGCAACAATGCACTCTAGGAAGAGGGGAGAAGAGATGTGATTTCCAGAGATAGTATGTTATGTTATTTAAAATGTCTAGTTTTCAACAAAAAATTATAAGACATGGAATGAAACAGGAAAGTATTGCTCATACTGAAGAAAAAAAAGGAATTAATAAGAACTGTCCTTGGGGAAGCCCATATGTTGGACTTACTAGACAAAGACTTTAAATCAGCTATTATAAATATGTTCAACAAACTAAAAGAAACCATGCCTAAAGAATCAAAGGTCAGCTAGAAGTAGTTATAGAAGATGGAAAGAAAAAAAAATAAGACAGAGAAAAATATAATAAATTAAAAAAAAGGATTAAAGAAAAGTATGAGATTATCTCACCAAATATAGAATATTAATAAAGAGAAATTATAGAAAAAGAAACAAATAGAAATTCTAGAATTGAAAGTACAGTAATTGAAATGAAAAATTCACCAGAGGGACTGAATAGTAGATTTCAACTGGAAAAAGGAAAAGGAATCAACATACTGAAAGACAGTTCAATTGAGATTATTCAGTATGAGTAATAAAAAGGAAAAAGAATGAAGAAAAGTGAATAAATCTTTAGAGACCTGTGCAACATCCTCAAGTGTACCAACGTGCACTTAATGGAAGTCCCGGAGAAGAGGAGAGAGTAAAAGGGAATAGAAAGAACATTTGAATAAAAAATGCTTGAAAATGTCCCAAATTTGGTGGAAAACATTAGTCTGCACATCCAATGAATGAACGCTAAGTTGTATAAAATCAAAAAGTTCTTCACCAAGACATACAGTCAAACTGTCAAAAGCCAAAGAACAGAATCTTGAAAGAAGTAACAGCAAAGCAACTTCTTACATATAAGGGAACTTCCGTAAGATTAACAGTAGATTTCTCATCAGAAGCCCTGGAAGCCAGAAGGCTGTGGGGGGACATATCCAAAATGCCAAAATAAAAAGACTATCAACAAACATTTCCACTTCCAGTAAAACTGTTCTTCAACAATGAAGGAGAAATATGTTCCGTGTAAGCTGAATAGAATGTGTATTCTGCTGTTGTTGGATGAAGTAGTCTATAATGTCAATTAGATAAATATGGTTGTGATGCTTTTTAGTTCAGCTATATTCCTTATGTGATAATTCCAGAATTTTTATCATGTCTGAGTTTGGGTCTGATGCTTGCTTGGTTTCTTCAGACAGTTATTTTTCTTGCCTTTTAGCATGCCTTGTAATTTTTTATTGAAAGCTGAACGTGATGTATCTGACAATGGAATGCTAATCTGCCTTGGAGATGGGATGTGTTTAATGTTTTGCTGTGGTCTGAATATCCCCCAAAATTCATGTGTTGAAACTTTATCCTTATGGTGGTCGTGTCAAGAGGTGGGATCTTTTGAAAAGTGATTAAGTCATGAGGGCTCCACCATTATGAATGGATTAGTGCCTTATAAAAAGAAGGAACTAGTTTAGGCTCATTTTTGCCCTTCTGCCTTTGGCCATGTGAGAACACAGCATTTGCCCCTCCTGCCACGTGAACACTCAGCAAGAAGGCCCTCACCATGCCTTGATATTGGACTGTCCAGCCTCCAGAACTGTGGGAAATAAATTTCTGTTATTTATAAATTACCCAGTCTGTGGTGCTTTGTTATGGCAGCACAAATAGTCTACGACATGTTTGCTATAACTCTAGGTGCCAGAGGTTTCAGTTTCCTCTACTGTCATTTTTTGTCTCTTCTGTGATCTTTGGGTTTTCCTAAGGACACTATTAAAATAAAGTCTGAGTCTTGCGGCTCTTTGGGCTGTAATCTGCTGTTATTTCCTGGAGTTGTGTTGATGAAGTGCTAAAGCGAAGATAGCGCTTCATGAACACTAGGCTATAATAAAAAATATGGACAACAATAAGTTTTGGTGAAGATGTTGAGAAATTTGTACCCTCATATGTGGCTGTTGGGAATGTAAAATGGTGTAGCCATTTTTGAAAACTATGTAGCAGTTTTCAAAATTAAACATAGAGCTATCATTTGACTCAGCATTTTGATTTCCAGATATATACCTGAGAGAACTGAAAATATATATCCACACAAAAACCTGTGCATGAATGTTAATAGCACCATTATTCATAATAGCTAAAAAGTAGAACCGATTCAAGTGTCCATCAACTGGTGAGTAAAAGGTGGTATATTCATATAACGGAATATTATTTGGCCATAAAAAGGGAAGAGGTGCTATACTATAACATGGATGAACTGTGAAAACATTATGCTAAGTGAGAGAAGCCAGTCATAAAATTCCACGTATTGTATGTACCTTTATATGCAATGCTCACAACAGGCAAATCCACAGAGACACAAAGTGGATTGGTGGTTGCCAGGGGCTGGGGCAGGGATGATGAAAATATTTTAAAATTCGATAGTGGTTGTGGTTGCATGACTTTCTGAATATATTTAAAAAATCACTGAGTTGTATACTTTAAAAGGGTGAATTTTATGTGATACGAATTATATTTAAATAAAGCTGTTACAAAAAATGAGGTGTTTGGCTTCAATATCTTGTTCACTGAGAAGTTCTACCACAAAACAATAGCAGTGTGTGTGTGAGCGGTTTCCCCCTTCTGTAAGTCTCATGTCCACGTCTGGATTGTGCATATTTGAACTGTGCCTATGTCCGTCCTGCCTCAACAAACGGCTTTCTCTAACAAAGCTGTTAGCCAGGGCTCTTGAGGCACCCTGACAGTGGTGCAGGTTTGGGAAGCCCCCGTGGCTCATCATCCCTTGGTGGGAACGTTAACAAATAGAGCCGGTGGCGTTGTCCCAACATCCGGCCCCGGGGGAGGCGCAGACGGAAGGCTCCTGGGCGCTGGAGCGTGGAGAGCTACTGCGTGCAAGGCCGCCAGCGCCAGCGAGAATGGGCTTTCGTTTTCCACTCCTGCCGGACTCAGTGGCTCTCCCAAAAGCTTCCCGTATGCCTAGTGTCGGGGTAATGGGGCGCTGGGAGGAGGGGAAAGGCTGGGCGGCGTAGCTTGGTCTGAGCAGTGGGACACCCCCCACCCCCCTTAAGGGTTGTGCGGGGCAGATGGCCTTGCCAGATTCTCAGGGCTCAGTTCATCACACTGATGCAGCGCTAGGTGGGGGCCTGCCCGCCCCCGCACCTTGGGTGTCGGGAGTCCCAGGATGCTCTTTCTAGGGCCGAGTTATTTTCCCGGGGCTGCTTTCCGTCCCTGCCTTCTGAAGGCTAAGTTGAGCAGAGGGAACTACAGACATTGCTTGCAAACCTTTACTTTCGGCATTTTAAAACTTAAAAAGCTGTGTGATTAGCAAACTTTTAATTGCAAAATGAAGATAACGAAAAACTGAAAGCACCAGAGCTTTATAATAAAATAAATAAAACAGCAACTTTTGTCATGAGGATCTGGAGTTGAAATGTCAAGATGAGAAATGGAGCTCACCTTTGGAGTAGGAGAAAAATTGAAGTCAGAGGTGCTAAGTGGATACTAAAATCATTTGTTCTAAACTGCCAGTCCCTCATTCTCAAATAAATGAGTAACCTAGGGTGAGTGCTGAAGACAACACTATTTTTCCCCCCTTGCTCAGGTGTGGATTTTAAATCAGCTCATGCTGATTTTCGGCTGCTGGTTTGCCAGGGGTACACCACTGTGGCCTTAGCCTTCTGCCCCACCCAGATTTCTAGATCACAGCTATAGCCCCTGTGCGGGCATCTGTTTCTAGTTAGAATCTGGTCCAGGCTGCAGGGAGGAGAGCGGAGGAGGAGGGGAAATGTTTCGCCAAACTTCTCCACTTGGGGTGAGGACTCTGGCCCCTCTGCATTGTGGGAAAGCCCTAGAGTGAAGGATGATGTGAGGGACAGTGATTGCCAAGAAACATCAGGCAGAACAAGCCATCTCCCAGGTGCCCGAAAGTCCTCTATGCAGAGACCTCTCAGAAAGGCAGATACTGGATTAGGTTGCCTTTGCTTTTTCTAGAAAGTGGTGATTGGGTAGCAGCTACCTCTTCATTCCCGACAGCAGGCCTGTTTCTCCATAGGGCACATTTGCATTTCTTCCCACAGCTGGAAACTCCCTCATTTCCACCACACCAGTGCCATCCCCCTGGAGGACCCTGCAGAATACATATCACTTCTTCTGGGAAGTCTTGCCAGGTTGGGGTTTGATGTCTAGGCTCTCTCCTTAGCTGTGCGACTCCAGGCAACTTGCTTCACTGTTCTGATCTTCAGTGTCCTGTTTCTGAAATGCTGCTCATCCCGCCCTGCCTGCCTTGCAGGACTGTTGGGAAGCCCGATTCTGGAGCTCTCTGGAATTGTACGGTGCTGGACAGATGGGAGGGGGACTTGGCAGGGTAATTTCCTGGTCCTGGGGTGTGTGTTTGGGAAGTATATTTAGTGGTCCTGGGAGTTGTAGCAATTCTGATTGTTTTTCTCACCGCAGGTCATTTCATGGGCAAGAACACGGTGCTGGTAGATGTGCGGCACAAAGGCTGTGAGGTAGAGCATGCCCCTGCTGGACACCCCATCAACAAGTAATGCTCCCGTGCTTCTATCCTAGTTGGGGAGCCGCTAGGGGAGCTGGGACCCCTGCAGGGCTGCCTGGCACCAGGGTGGGCTGCTGTCCTGGGGGCTCCAGAGGACCCCTGGACGGCCATTTCCCCCAGGCTTGGGAGAGGTGGTCACTAGATGGGTGCCCAGCATCGCTCAGCTGGCTTCATGTGGCTGGGCTGTGGCAGCACCACCCAGCCGGGTGCACACTTTGAGCTACATGCAGTGGCATGATCGTAGTTCCCTGCAGCCTCAAACTCCTGGGCTTACCCAGTCCGTCCTGCCTCAGCCTCCTAAGTAGCTAGGACTATAGGTACATGCCACCATGCCCAGCTAATTTTTTGAAAAAACTTTTTGTAGAGACAGGGTCTTGCTATGTTGTCTAGGCTGATCTCAAACTCCTGGGCTCAAGTGATCCTTCCACCCTGGCTTCCCAAAGTGCTAGGATGACAGGTGTGAGCCACTGTGCGTGGCCTTCCTTTGCAATTTGAGGATTTCTCTTTTTTTATCCTTTTTGCCCAACCTAGGTCTTTCCCTTTTTCGTTTTTTTTTTTTTTTTTTTGGTCATATACCTCCTCCTTTTCTCAAACAGGGCCATTAATACGAACTGACCTCTCAGGTTCTGTCATGTTGTGGGTCAGAAGTGAGGCCCGCCTCTCACAGGTAGAAGATTTATCAAGGCTGGATGGGAGCAGAGGAAATCAGTTCTTACACGTGCCAGTCAGCTGCACCCACATCCCTGGAGGAGGAAAGACCCAGACATGGCACATCCACTGCTCTCCTTCCTCAGGCAGATGGGAACTTGTGGCCCTCACTGCCCGCATCGGGAGACAATGGGATTGACCTCCAGTGGCTGGAATTCTTCTCTTACTCCCCCACTCCCTGCCCCACCACCAAACCCTCGACAAAAAGTTGTTGTAGGAAGAAACTTGGTCCTTCTAATACTTATTTCTTCACTGGAAGAGGTTTCTGGGGACTATAGTCACCTTTAGGGGAAAACTAGAAGTCAGTTTGAGTTTCCCATCAGCTGTGGAAAGATGTATTCCCTTTGGGGAAGATGATTTAAGGCCAGCCTTGAGAGCCTCTGTCTGAATAGAGCCCTCAATAGGGTTCAGGAGGGATTAACAACAGGGTTAAGGGCTACTTCAGTTGTTTTAAGCAAATGGCATTTAAATGTTTCCACTCCTCTGTAAATGCTGTAATCTTCAGTGGCTTTCTTGACAGTGCTGACCCATTGTTGTTGGGAAAGTGCAGTAATTAACATATATGCAGTTTAAAAAAAAAAAATCTTAGGTTTTTCTCCCCAGGGCTAGGGGATTTGGAGAGAGTACAGGGAGGCTGTGTGAGGGAGAAACAAAGGCATCAAGGTGATCCATTCTCAGGTGGCCTGGAGAACCAAGTAACTCCTGCCCTAACTGGAGGGCTTGAACTTTCAGGTTATCCGCCTGTCCTGAGGCCCTGGGCTAGGAAGATACAGGGAGTGTCCCAGTGAAGGGAGGAAAGTCCCTTGAACTTGCCAAGTGGGTTCTTCGCTTCACACGGGGAAGAATTCTAGAGCTAGACAGACAATAGATCCTACTCCACAGACAGAGATGGGGGTCTTCCAAAGCAGGAGGGGCACCCCTTGTGGGGCAATGGCAACGTTTTTATGTGTTCAAAAACTCCATTAGCTGGAGGCCAGCACTGTTTTGACATCAGGCCATAAAGGTTACTCATACACTGCTGTCACAGAAAGGTAAGCACAGTTTGTAAGGCATCCGGCTTAGTAATTCATCCTTCCTCAGTTGGTCCTGGCTTAGTGACATGTTGGCGACTTCCTTGTTCAGTGTGGTTAGGGTCTGGTGTGGGTCAAAATGGCTGCGCTCAGGCTCTCTGGAACTTCCTATTTTGCCTTATCCCTACATTAGTAAGAGCAGAGGAGGGCGACAGGCTGTGTGACCCTCGTCCAAATACCTCCTCCTTCGCCCCTGTTTACAGAGAGAAGAGTAAAAGGCCCTTGACACAGCCCTCCCTGTCTGTCCTCTTTGTGCCACCCAGAAGCCCACCCCAGAAGCACTGGCACTGGAAGCCATGTCTGCGGTGCACTCAACGCTGCCCCCTCATGTGTCCCTGCCCGGAAGTGCTGACCTGTCTGGGGAGGATGAGCAGAAGTCCCGGAAAAAGCAGAGGCAGCCACAGCGGAGGCAGCGACTCCGACTCTGACTCCGACTCCGACTCCGACAATTCAGCTACCTGTGGGTCCGCGTGGAGGAGAGGTGAGGCGGGTGGGCTGACCAGGCCGGCCTCCGCCCTTACCCTGGGAGTGCGGTGTGAGCAGACCCAGGAACGCCCCTCACACTGGTGGGGATAGGAGCCCCCCTCGTGGAGCAGCCTTTCCCTTTCCTCATGGCCCGTGGCTCCTGTCCTCTGTCCACTGCGACAGAGAAGAATCCGGATTTAAGGTAGTTCCTTCAAGCCAGAGCAAGGGCAACATGTTTATACTTGTTAAAGAACCAATGTGGGGGTATGGATAGGTCTGTTAAAAGTAGAAAGAGGCTGGAATACAGGTTGCAAAGAACCTAAATTCTCCAGCCCCTTTTCCACTGCAGATCATAGCTTTGCAGAGCTGGAAGGAACTCTGTAGAATGGGCATGTTTGAGCCCCAGAGTGTACCGGGAGAGTGGTGACCACAGAATGTGCTCTTAGAGATGGTTAGTGGGTGGATCAGAGGTGGGCAGAAGAGCTGCGGTCTTCAGGGCACAGCGCTGCTGGAAGGACCACCCCAGAGAGGCTGGGATCCAGGATCCAATTAAATTCATCCCAATCTTACCGAGTTTCTCCCATGTGCCTGCCGTTGTGTTGGGTGTACGTCTCTGGGGTGAACCAGACACTTGCCCTGCCTTCATGGACTCACAGTCAGGCAAGGAGTCCAGATTTTGCATAAATCTGCAAAGGGAAGGGTAGAGTGCTGTGTGTGTGTGTGTGTGCGTGTGTGTGTGTGTGTGTGTGTGTGTGTTGGAGGTTACTATTACAGTCAGGGGTCAGTAAAAGCCTCCCTGAGGAATCATCCTTTGGCTGATAGGAGTGGAAGCCAACAAAGCAGGGCCTGGTGAATAGCTCCTGTGTCGGGTCAGCAGAGGCAGGGCTGCACAGGTGTTTAGTAAATGTTGAATGAATGAATATGGAAGGGGAGGAGTTGGGGGCAGAGGGAACCGTGTGAAAGCTTGGTGTGGGGGGAACAACTGTGTTAAAGAAACCAAGATAAAGTATTTCTGGCTGGAGCCTGGGAAGTGCAGGGGTAGTGGGATGAGACGTGTCTGGGAAGGTGAACAGTGAGGGAAGTGGGGAGCCACTGAAAGGTTTGGAGCAGGCATCTTGTATGCTGTGTGATTTGCATCTTTAAATGGACAGAACCGGGCAGCCAAATGGGACCTAGAGAACAGGGACAGCTCTGTTGGTGCCCATGTCCCAGGGTGGCTTCTCAATGATCCTTCATTGATGGAGGGATAAACTGACCTGTTTAATACTTTTTCAGCCTGGGCCATTTCCTTTCGAGGTGGCCATGGATTGGGCACTTTGCACCTCAGCTGAGCTGAAAGGGCCAGGTTAGCCTGAGGTCATGTCTTCAGTGCGTGCTGTCTTGTCCTGCATGCTGTTCACACCAGGCCTGAACTTGGGCAGGTGAGAGGCAGAGACCCAAGGAGGACTCTTCATGACCTGGCTCACCCTCTGTGGCCACCAGTGGGGAAGGTCCTGTCTCAGATTACCCAGAGGCTGATGATTAGCAAACTCTGTGTTGAGCCTTCTTATACCAAGACTTTTAATAGTGCTTAAATCAAGAATTAAACAGCCAGGGAAAGTTGGCTAGTATGGTAGTCTTAATACCCTTGATCACTTGGTTTTCTGCTAGCAGTGGCCAAAGACCAGAGAGGGCCAAGGATATGGGAAGCCTATTAGCATACTAATCCCCACTCCTGTCTTTGAAGAGGGGAGATGAAAAGAAGCCAGTGGGCATTTGGGAGTCTCGGAGTATGCAGCAGCTTGCACTGTGCCCCAAGACTCTTTTTCTCTGCCTCCTAGAGCTGTGGCTCCACACCTCCAGGTCCCTGTCCTGGACAGGCACATCTCTGCTGAGCTGCAGCTCCCTTGACACGGGTATTCCCACCACAGCCGGGTGGTGGCCAGCAGTGCCTGCCTGTCTCTCTGGACCCCCGTGTTCTGGGTGCTGGTGCTGGCCTTCCAAACATAGACACCCTCCTGTAGTGACTGCAGGAGCCAGGCCGAGACCCCAACCCCTCAGACTTGGAGGACAGCCATTCCTGTACCCCACACTCTGGTCTGGCCTTCGTAGGCCCAACCCAGGAGAGGAGACTGTGCCCGAAGAAGAAACCCAGTGTTGATTCTGCTCTTTCCAAGAAATGTCTTGGGGTTATCCACCTTTGGGGGGAGCTGTACAGTTTTGTAACATAATGAGTTGTGTGAAAATAATAAATTGTTAATGAGTTGTTTGAAAATAATTAAATACCTTTTTGGTGTAGATTTTTTTCATGATGTGCATATATTAGGCAGATAGCTCCTGTGCTCACACTGTCTGAACACTGTCCCTGCTTCCCCGCTGAGCCCTCGCTGCTCAGCTGCAACTCTGACCCCTTTGGGCCCCAGCTCTGGACGCTGACCCTTTCCTTCTTTCTGCTGCTTGCTCTTGTCCCCCTGTTTGCTCTTGGTTCTGGCTGTGGAACTTGTGTTCTGCACCCCTCTGTCCGTGGTCTGGTGAGGAGGGTGCTCCCTGTGCTCTGACAAGTACTTTCCCGCGGCACAATATGTCCAGCGTGTCTCACTGGCATCTGGAGCCTGGGATGGGCTTCGTCCAGAGGTGCTGTGCAAGAGAGTGGTTTTCAAACTCTACCCCCCGCAGCCATATTATTTATTTATTTTTTATTTCAGCATATTATGGGGGTACAGAGAGGGCGACAGGCTGTGTGACCCTCGTCCAAATACCTCCTCCTTCGCCCCTGTTTACAGAGTGAAGAGTAAAAGGCCCTTGACACAGCCCTCCCTGTCTGTCCTCTTTGTGCCACCCAGAAGCCCACCCCAGAAGCACTGGCACTGGAAGCCATGTCTGCGGTGCACTCAACGCTGCCCCCTCATGTGTCCCTGCCCGGAAGTGCTGACCTGTCTGGGGAGGATGAGCAGAAGTCCTGGAAAAAGCAGAGGCAGCCACAGCGGAGGCAGCGACTCCGACTCTGACTCCGACTCCGACTCCGACAATTCAGCTACCTGTGGGTCCGCGTGGAGGAGAGGTGAGGCGGGTGGGCTGACCAGGCCGGCCTCCGCCCTTACCCTGGGAGTGCGGTGTGAGCAGACCCAGGAACGCCCCTCACACTGGTGGGGATAGGAGCCCCCCTCATGGAGCAGCCTTTCCCTTTCCTCATGGCCCGTGGCTCCTGTCCTCTGTCCACTGCGACAGAGAAGAATCCGGATTTAAGGTAGTTCCTTCAAGCCAGAGCAAGGGCAACATGTTTATACTTGTTAAAGAACCAATGTGGGGGTATGGATAGGTCTGTTAAAAGTAGAAAGAGGCTGGAATACAGGTTGCAAAGAACCTAAATTCTCCAGCCCTTTTTCCACTGCAGATCATAGCTTTGCAGAGCTGGAAGGAACTCTGTAGAATGGGCATGTTTGAGCCCCAGAGTGTACCGGGAGAGTGGTGACCACAGAATGTGCTCTTAGAGATGGTTAGTGGGTGGATCAGAGGTGGGCAGAAGAGCTGCGGTCTTCAGGGCACAGCGCTGCTGGAAGGACCACCCCAGAGAGGCTGGGATCCAGGATCCAATTAAATTCATCCCAATCTTACCGAGTTTCTCCCATGTGCCTGCCGTTGTGTTGGGTGTACGTCTCTGGGGTGAACCAGACACTTGCCCTGCCTTCATGGACTCACAGTCAGGCAAGGAGTCCAGATTTTGCATAAATCTGCAAAGGGAAGGGTAGAGTGCTGTGTGTGTGTGTGTGTGCGTGTGTGTGTGTGTGTGTGTGTGTGTGTTGGAGGTTACTATTACAGTCAGGGGTCAGTAAAAGCCTCCCTGAGGAATCATCCTTTGGCTGATAGGAGTGGAAGCCAACAAAGCAGGGCCTGGTGAATAGCTCCTGTGTCGGGTCAGCAGAGGCAGGGCTGCACAGGTGTTTAGTAAATGTTGAATGAATGAATATGGAAGGGGAGGAGTTGGGGGCAGAGGGAACCGTGTGAAAGCTTGGTGTGGGGGGAACAACTGTGTTAAAGAAACCAAGATAAAGTATTTCTGGCTGGAGCCTGGGAAGTGCAGGGGTAGTGGGATGAGACGTGTCTGGGAAGGTGAACAGTGAGGGAAGTGGGGAGCCACTGAAAGGTTTGGAGCAGGCATCTTGTATGCTGTGTGATTTGCATCTTTAAATGGACAGAACCTGGCAGCCAAATGGGACCTAGAGAACAGGGACAGCTCTGTTGGTGCCCATGTCCCAGGGTGGCTTCTCAATGATCCTTCATTGATGGAGGGATAAACTGACCTGTTTAATACTTTTTCAGCCTGGGCCATTTCCTTTCGAGGTGGCCATGGATTGGGCACTTTGCACCTCAGCTGAGCTGAAAGGGCCAGGTTAGCCTGAGGTCATGTCTTCAGTGCGTGCTGTCTTGTCCTGCATGCTGTTCACACCAGGCCTGAACTTGGGCAGGTGAGAGGCAGAGACCCAAGGAGGACTCTTCATGACCTGGCTCACCCTCTGTGGCCACCAGTGGGGAAGGTCCTGTCTCAGATTACCCAGAGGCTGATGATTAGCAAACTCTGTGTTGAGCCTTCTTATACCAAGACTTTTAATAGTGCTTAAATCAAGAATTAAACAGCCAGGGAAAGTTGGCTAGTATGGTAGTCTTAATACCCTTGATCACTTGGTTTTCTGCTAGCAGTGGCCAAAGACCAGAGAGGGCCAAGGATATGGGAAGCCTATTAGCATACTAATCCCCACTCCTGTCTTTGAAGAGGGGAGATGAAAAGAAGCCATGTGGGCATTTGGGAGTCTCGGAGTATGCAGCAGCTTGCACTGTGCCCCAAGACTCTTTTTCTCTGCCTCCTAGAGCTGTGGCTCCACACCTCCAGGTCCCTGTCCTGGACAGGCACATCTCTGCTGAGCTGCAGCTCCCTTGACACGGGTATTCCCACCACAGCCGGGTGGTGGCCAGCAGTGCCTGCCTGTCTCTCTGGACCCCCGTGTTCTGGGTGCTGGTGCTGGCCTTCCAAACATAGACACCCTCCTGTAGTGACTGCAGGAGCCAGGCCGAGACCCCAACCCCTCAGACTTGGAGGACAGCCATTCCTGTACCCCACACTCTGGTCTGGCCTTCGTAGGCCCAACCCAGGAGAGGAGACTGTGCCCGAAGAAGAAACCCAGTGTTGATTCTGCTCTTTCCAAGAAATGTCTTGGGGTTATCCACCTTTGGGGGGAGCTGTACAGTTTTGTAACATAATGAGTTGTGTGAAAATAATAAATTGTTAATGAGTTGTTTGAAAATAATTAAATACCTTTTTGGTGTAGATTTTTTTCATGATGTGCATATATTAGGCAGATAGCTCCTGTGCTCACACTGTCTGAACACTGTCCCTGCTTCCCCGCTGAGCCCTCGCTGCTCAGCTGCAACTCTGACCCCTTTGGGCCCCAGCTCTGGACGCTGACCCTTTCCTTCTTTCTGCTGCTTGCTCTTGTCCCCCTGTTTGCTCTTGGTTCTGGCTGTGGAACTTGTGTTCTGCACCCCTCTGTCCGTGGTCTGGTGAGGAGGGTGCTCCCTGTGCTCTGACAAGTACTTTCCCGCGGCACAATATGTCCAGCGTGTCTCACTGGCATCTGGAGCCTGGGATGGGCTTCGTCCAGAGGTGCTGTGCAAGAGAGTGGTTTTCAAACTCTACCCCCCGCAGCCATATTATTTATTTATTTTTTATTTCAGCATATTATGGGGGTACAGATGTTTAGGTTACGTATGTTGCCCTTGCCCCCCTCCTCCCAAGTGTTATTTATTATTTATATGTTTATTGGCAATGTCTTTTCCAAATAAAATCTTATGAAAATCCCTATATAAAACGAGTAAAAGGTTGAGTCTGAAATGGGAGCTTTTAGCCCTGCCCCGCTGATCTCCCTCCCCGGACCACCCTGGTTCCGGGTCAGGGTCGTCCCCCTGTGACAAGCTTCCCTTATGGTCTCGGGCCTGGGTAGTTCACAAAAACCCACAAGTTCTGTCCAGGACTTGAGTGGGGCCAACACAAAGTGTTTGCATTTGTTCCTAATCGGGCTTAGGGTAAGACTGCCTGCCTGGGTGTGAAGCTCTGGCTTCCCTACTCAGCCATTCCCCTGGGCCTTACTGAACGAGAAGTGTGACGCACTCAGGACCCTTGTCCACCACCTTCGTTCCGTTCTGTATGCCCTGAATCGCAGGGGTCGGAAGGCTAAAATCCGTCCAGATTCCCTTGCTGCTGTCATCTAGATTCTCCTAATGAGACACACTTAGGTGAGATTTGGAAGGTAGAAGTGGGCAGGTCTTTTTCTTGAGCAGTGGTGGCAGCTCGGTGTAGGCTCCAGCCGACAAGTTTGTGCAGCGGCAGACTCTGCGTCCCCCTCCGCTCACCGGCTTCCCGGCGGGGAGTGCTGTGAGGTTGGCGCCGTTTCCTGCAGCTTCTCACCTTGGATCACAGCTGCTGTGGTGCCCAATATCAACCCTCTGACTTCCGGAGCTGCAGCCATTCCCATGACTTTGTTGGCACCTATTTCTGCTCAAAACACCAAGAGCAGTTTCTGATGTGTGCACCGAACTCTGCCTGATGGAAAGGGTGCTCCTCGCTTCTCCGCGACTTGAGTTTGCTCTCGCTTTCGCTGGGCATGGGGTACAGGCGGGGAGCCGCGCTACACTGGGAGGTTGGAATCACGGTGGCTGACCCAGTTCCTCCAGTTCTTTCGCAGGGTGTGCTGTGGCTTTCTCCAGAGCTAGATGGCTAGTTTCTTGGGTCATGTTATGGCCAGGGAAGCAAACAGACCACTGTTGGCAGGGCTGACACAAAATGGCTTGTCACAGTGGCTGCTCCATTTTAGCGCTGCCCAGCAAGCTCTGCCTCTTAGGTGGCAGGGGCTCAAATGCACCTGGCTGGGACTTGGCAGGTTTTTACACAGGTTCATCCTGCGTGGAAGGGAAAAATTCCTCTGTACGTGGGCAGGACTGACCTGGACTTCTGTGACAGCAGTGATGGTGCCCCACAGAGTGGGGAACTGGCATTATGGGCCAAGATCCTATAGTCCTGCTCATCTGCTCCCCCAGCTGTTGTGGTCACTGCATCAACCCCCCATGTGTTAGGCTCAGAGAACCTTCATCTGGTCTAGAAAGGGAAGTGCCGAAACCCCCGGGGGCCTCTCACGTCCGTGCGAAGAGGAGGAGCCTGTGTGGGGACGCAGGGCTGAGTCCCGACTCCCACCTGGGGTGGGAATAGCAGGTTTAATAGGCGGGTGCTGAACTCACTGCTTCCACATCAGAGCTTGGATTACCAACATAAAGAACTCAAAAACACTTTATTTTAGGTCATAAGAGAAACAAAGGTCACGCTTAATATCTTTAAGTCAAATCAGAATTAACAATTTTGCTCACATATAAATTATTCAAACCTTTCCCCTCATCAGGAAACATCTGGCCTTTCCACCACTTCCTTTTCATCACTGGGTGGTGCCTTTTCACTCATTCAGCTGGCAGAGCAAAGCTGATCCCTTGGCAATCCAGTAGTCTTTGGACCGCTTGGAGGGTAAGAGGATGGTTACCACGAAGTTGGTTGAATGGCCTAATTAAGGATACAGGGGAAAAAAGGGTCATTACTGAAAGAATAACCTCCTGATACAAAGAGAAGATAGTCAGAGTCAAGGCATATGGGCTCCAGCCTTGACTACCTCTAAAAATGCTTGGCAAATAGTCCTTTATGGGTTTCAGTCCTATGCTGTATGAAACAAAGATTTTAGAACAAATGGTCCTTTAGGACGTTTCCAGCTTAGACTTTGTATAACTTTATGAGCTATGTTCTCAGTTCTCTGCAGTTGGAATCTGGGAGCACTGGACTAGGATTCAGTCCTGAGCTGTCAGTAGGACTTGGGGTCATGCAGTGGTAGGTTGGGCATCCTTTCATTCATCCATTTGTCCATCCACCCATCCATCCTTTCTACCCTGCAGTGGTGGGCACTTGGGCTCCTGAGAT